TGGAGGGAGAAAATTTGTCTATTTCTTTGCATAGGGTATGAAGTAGCATTCAGACAGACATAAGCTATCCTAGTTTTGTATCAATGATCCAGAGAGAAAAAAACCAGAAGCATAAAAAGCATAGGACGGACATTGACATCTCTAAAGAAGTGAGTTGTGGTGTGAGGTTATAAGTCAGTGGCTCTCAACCTGCGGGTCCCCAGGTATTTTGGCTTACAACGCTGAGAAATCCCAGCCAGTTTACCAGTTGTTAGGATTTCTGAGAGTTGAAGGCCAAAACATCTGGGGACCCACAGGTTGAGAACCACGGTTATAAGTGTTACCGGAGTGGTACAACAATAAAAAGTTGTTCTCATTGGAAGAATAACCAAGAACACCATCATAAAAGCAACTGTGAATGCCAAGCTTAATGAAAGACATCTTAACAGAAACAATAGCCCAAATTCTCATTGCATGGCACCCTACAAATGTGAAACATGGCTAAGTAAATCATTTGGTCACATCTTTTCAGAATGAACAAGTTGCCTGAAGTTTCTTTTAGGACCAGACTCACACCAGTTTTGGACAGATGCTTTGCTTTAGCATCAACGTTGATATAAACCTAGTTTCATTTGTACTTAAAACTCCAAACATGTTGCTGACTGGCAAACTGTATAGATAACTGAAAGTAGAATTCCTTCAAATAATAATAATAATAATAATAATAATAATAATAATAATAATAATAATATAACCCTTTATTTATACCCCACTACCATCTCCCACAGGACTCGGTGCGGTTTACAAGAGGCTGAGCCCAAATACATAAAAAAAACACAACAACAATACAACAATAAATAACTCATAGCAAAGCAAAACAATAACAGAAATCACGACGCATTTAAAAACCTGTGGCAGGTTTACTTATCCATTTAACACAGTGACCTGAAGTATTGGTATGTAAAAGTAAAAGGAAAGTGATTATACAAGGAATGTGTATCTTGCTTAAAATACTCGGGAAAGGGCAGTGAGGCAGAAGAGAAAATCAGAACTCCATTCCATTGCAGAAGCATTTAACAGTTGAGATATAAAAAAGAAAAAAGAAAAAATATTTTAAAAGAAGATTAGAAGTAGCAATATGTACTAAGCTTTCTTTATACATGTATCATTTTTTCTTGAATAATAAATTGGAGAAAGATTGATTACCCTTAACCTGCCTTATCAATGAAGTATGGGACAAAGAAGTATATGACAACCAGTTTCAAACAAGTACAAACAGAAGCAACGAGCACAATACTATTTTCATGTTCATGACTGTTTGTTGTGTTGCGTCCTTCTACAACTTACAGCTGTAGGGATTAAGAACAATGTACAAAGACGACAATGCAAATATGGAAAAAATGTATCCGGAGTGATTTGAGGACATTGATCATGAGAAGCAAAGTTGTTGCCACAATCGATTTTAACTTCTCAAGGAATAAATTGTAAGTATGAATGTTCTTTTAGAACCAATTTGAAGTAGGTAAGTTTAATCAGCAATCTATCTCCTTTATGAAGGCTGGTGTTAGCCCTTAGCTAGAAATTTCATTACAGAAAGACGAGGAACAAAAAGTTCACATGTCGGATGACAAGAGCGCTACTTTTTAAAAATCCCATTATCAGCATTAAAGTAACTTTCTTCATGCAGTGAAGTACTTCTACAAGTGCAAAGTAGAGCAATGGCAATCTATAAAATCCATGAAAGAATTAAGTAGTATTTTCCTTGAAGTCATTTCCAAGCTTAAGAAGCCCCTTAAGCAAGGTAACCTCTAATGGACAACCTCACCAATTGGGAGGTCCTGGAGGGCTTGCCGGGTGATGGAGGCAGGAGCAGAGAACCAGGCAGTTTAGTTTAGCTATGCTTTTAATTTTGGGCAATGTAGCTGATATGGCATCACTCTGGTCTTTATAGAAATTTAAACAGTCTAGAGCAGGAGTCCTCAAACTTTTTAAGCAGAGGGTCAGATCACGGTCCTCAAACTATTGGGAGGCCAGGCTACAGCCTCAAAACACCATGAAAGAAAACCTATGCACAATGGGTAGTGTGGGCCAGATTTTGGCTGATGAGATAGTCAAGTTAATTAGGATTGTTATTGTTGTTGTTGTTGTTGTTGTTGTTGTGTGCCTTCAAGTCACTTCAGATTTAGGGCACCCCTAAGTCTAATGTTAAGGACAGGGGCTGAGTAAATGACCTCAGAGGGATGCATCTGGCCCGTGAGCCTTAGTTTGGGGACCCCTGGTGTAGAGCTAGTGAGCTTCTTGGTGCCTAACGTCATGGGGATACAATTCGAAAATAACCAATAGCAGACATGAGTGTTGAGCCCTGTCTGAGTATAAAGTGCTGAATGAAGCCACTATAACTCTCTGTACATGTTATCTCCTGCTCTAGAGCAGACTAAAATGATAAACCAGAACTATATTCTACTACAGGTTGAGTATCCCTTATCTGAAAAGCTTGGGACTAGAGATGTTTTAGACTTGGATTATGAATTGTTTCTGATTTTGGGATACCTGTATTTGCACATATGCACATGAGGTATCTTGGAGACAAAACACAAGGCTGAATGCAAAATTTGTGTATGTTTCATATATACCTCCTACACATAGCTGAAGGTAATTTGCTTGTGCATAAAACATAGTTTCTGTACACTAAGCTATCAGAAAGCAAAAGTGTCAGTATCTCAGCCACTTTGGGCAGTTCTGATTGTTAGGGTATTTGGAATTTGGGGATTCTACAACATGGATGTTCAATCTGACTTCATTCTCCAAACAATCTAAATCAAGGCTATATTTGAGACATTGACATTATATATCTGGTAGGATTGTTGCTATGCTGCTGGGTAATTACATGTTTGCTTTATTTCTTAATTTAAAACCAATTTGAAAAAAATCTTGCATGGGCAATGTGTACTTCAAAAGCAGACTAATTATAATAAAATGAGTGTCTTTTCCTATACTGTTCACTACAATTTAAGAACCTTCACTAGAGCTATGCTGTTCATTCAGTCAGTCTTTATTGTTCCTTCTAAAGCTTCCCACACACCAAAGAAGCAGAAGTTTGAAGAAGGTAGTCTTCTCTGTGTGTATTGGGTCTTCTCTTTGACTGGACATCTAAGGTTTCCTACCTTAGATGCTCTTTATACTTTTCCCCTATATGTGATTCAAACCTTGTATGTGAAAATATCAGTGCTAGGGTCATATGATTTCTCATTGCTCCTTCCCTGTGTGTGTGTGTATATACATAAAGCCTAGATCATTGGTGTCAAACTTGTGGCCCTTCAAATGTTTTTGACTTCAACTCCCAGAATTCCTGGCCATTGGACACACTGGCTATGGCTCCTGGAAGTTGGAGACCCAAACATCTGGAGGGTCACAAGTTTGACACCTTTGGTCTAGATTGTAAACCTTTGGTAGGACCAATTGTTTTTTTTCTTATTTTATTGTAAAGCATCATGTACATTTGATGTCATTATATAAACAAACAATATGAAGGAGCAGGAAAAGAAGAGGATATATGTCAAGTTTTCATTTTTCCAGTTGGTGAATTGAGAATATATCTTAAGAAGCTTGTTTCTATTTATTTGGTCTGAAAATATATCTTAATTCCACCTAGATTTTCCCAATGAGCAGCTAACTATAACAATCACTCAGCCACCACTGTTGCTATTTTATCAGCCAGCGTTTTGTGGTGGTTGGAAAAGTAGCTCATGTTTTAGGATCCACAGGTGTAGTTGGGCTTCCCAGAAGACGCAGCTAGCATTATTTATTATTTTTATGGCATTTATAGCCCACCTTTCTCAACCATATGGCGACTCAAGGCGGGTTAAAGATTGGCACGATTCGATGCCATGCATTCATAAAAGTGCGATTAAAAACAGTCAACATAACGATATAAAAACATATATAAAACTATTAAAACATGTAGTCACCAATGTCATCTTGTTATCATTTGGGAAGAGATTTCAAAAATGGTAGTCCAGCAGCTTATGGGATATTCAAGTTGTGAACCAATGAGTTAGAAAACAACTTTACTATGGATATAGAATCATTTTTTTTCTGTTTAGTTATGAAATTCATTCAGTGACCCTGATCACATCTCTGTCTTGGTCTGATCTGCTTCTAGGATTCTTGTGCATAATAAATATCAATTCCAGCAAAAGAAACACTAAATAGAACAAAACCTAAACAAAATATCAGCAAGTAGGTATTTAAAGGCATAGGAAAAATTATAAATTGGATGCAAAGTGTAAAGTGCATAGCACTTCAAGAGTCACATCACTGCAAGAAGTGGACAATTTAACAACAGTAAATCTCCAAAAACCAATAAATAAAGGACTTGTACTATCAGAGCTTCATTTTCTTGTTACTCCATAGATTTATAGGAGTTTCCTTTTTTTAAAAAAATCTTCTAAACTGTGATCTGTTACATTTGAACACATCTCTTCTTTTCGTGGAATAGCAGAAATAGATTCCAGGCTGAGAGGCTGATAATACAGTATTGATACATCATGAAGTAGTTCAGCTTGTGCAAATGGATAGGAGGGAAGGTATGTCTTGCAAACATTAACTTAAAAATCATTAGGTTGGTCCTGAATCTATTTTCAAGGTTGCTCACCTCTTAAATCAACTATGATTACAATCATTTGCAAACAACCCAGAAAAAAATTCCTAGAAAATGAAATTTGTTACCTGTTTCTTCCAGCTTGTTATTGCCAGTGGAAGTAAACATGGTGCTAGGAAAACTATCACTTTTTATCCTTTGGTCAGATTTTGATAACAAGATAATAAGCATTTTATTGGAGTGTAATGGTTAGGCTGCTGACACTGACATACTGTACTTACAGAAAAAAAGGAAAAAAAGAAAAAGGGATGTGCCATAAAAGGAATCTAGATGGACAACCCACAATTTGACATTTTAAGGAACAGAAATTTCAACAAGATGATATTTCAAGGTACAGAAATTGTGGGGTTTGTACGTTTACCTGATTCGTCAACTCTCAATTTTTTATTACTGGGATTGTCTGTACTGTCATCGTCAGACATTTCCATTTCTTCTTCCCGCCGTATTCCCATTAGTTGTTCACTGTGAGCATTCCTGAGTTCCTATGAATGACGAAAAAACCCAAAATCTTACTTTGTTAGCTTAGGTTAACATATAAATACATTTCTAGAAGATATTTAACTTATTACAATCCAAAGAAAGGACATTCGATTTTGTATTAATTTTCGTTTTGACTGAGATGTGATCCTGATAGGTGCTTCTCTATTTTACTCCATTGTTACGATCATTGCTTTCATTTGAAGAAGACTATTACAATGTGAACAGTATGTATTAAAATTGGATATAATAAAGAGAAAGTAAAAACATATGTTTACAATGATACCTTAAGCACTTCAGGGTAATGATGAAACAAAACTGTTTGGATATGCTTCTGTCACAAACGACAGTATATACACAAGGAAAGGAATTACTGCTTGTCGGTGTTTTTCAGCAGGTTCAGCTACAGTGTGCGCGCATTGTACCCTCTTGCAGTGACCACTCTTGCTATCTACTTGATTGAGATATTACAATTCTGTGCTTATGGTTCTCTTACATTCTTCAACCTAACTTTTTTTTAATTCTATGATGAGATGTAAATGAAGTGGCATTTCTACTGGGAGAATTTTCATAATTGTATCACTGCACTCTTAAAGATTACAAATTTCATTGTCATATTGAAATTCATATTCTCAAAATATTGTGATACTTACCAAAGTGAGATACTTAACTCTGTGCTTTGTCTTTTGACAGAAACTGTCCCAGTAAAAGATACTGTCTTACCTATTTTTGTATGCGTTCCAGACTGAGGAAGAAGGATCCAGTCCTCAACACAATACATCACCAAAGACTACTTTCATATCAACTAGGTATTTTTTTTTAGTATTTTTAAGAGGAAAGACGAAAAACATAAGCCTCTATAGAAAGTTGTGCATTTATGAAACAAATGAGGGGGGAATAATAGGCAATCCAAAGAGAAATCACTGGAAGGAAGAGCAGCCTGGGAATGCCATTTGCAAATGTATAGGCTTCAGAAAATCTCAGATTGCTTTTGTTTCCACAGAAAAGTATTGGGTAAGTGTAATTGGTGCCTTCCTTAACAGGGGCAAAAGAAAGATTGAGGGAATTCTATTTTCTCCTAATAATACTGTCAGGTGAAACACAAGGATGCAGACCAGTGATTAGTGCCAGGCTTTTCAGTCTGCAGACAGCTAATTTTTCTATCGACAAAGAGCCCAATTCCCACAGAGGTGGTTTGAAATCTTTGAAATGAGGAAAAGAAGTCACATCCAAGGAATGAGTGTTACCGAAAGAACATGCTATTTATTCCTCGCACATAATGAGAATCTGAAAGAATTCCTTTGAGAGATGCACCCAGAGTTCATCAATAATCTAATCCATTATAATAAAGGTGTGCATAGCCCTTAATCACTGGAGAGGCACTGAAGTTGATTAATGTATGTTTTACATACGAATACTGTACTTAGAAAATCAGGATTTTTTTAAAGTAATGGAGTGCATGAATTCTGTTCCTGAAATGTGTGAATGTGTGCAGCACAAACAACCAACATTACATAAATGCATCATAATGCACATACTTATAAATGGTCATGACATTTATAAGGAAATCAAATCCTGCATTAAGTAACCATCCAGCTAGGTCTGTCTACCCAAAGAGAATTGGTCTACTGAAAATGTGAATGTGTCTTTGTTAGGATCATATTTTTTTGTCTGTCTAGCCCAGCAATTTCTAACTTACATTTCGCGAAATAGATCTAATTGGATTTCAGCTTTCACAAGTTTGTAGCACTAGCTATTCTGACTGCAACATTAGGGATCTGCCATCCCAAAACATTTGTGTGCCTGAATTTTGGAACTGCCAATGTTATTTCTTCAAGTCTTATGTCTTTGCAATCCTTGTTTATTACCAAAATATGCCTAAATGTACAACTAAAAGCACGAGCATCATATATGGGATTAATGCAAGGGCCATGTATGTCAGCAAATGAGAAATCATTTCATGTAATCAAAACTGAAAACCAAAATGCTGCCAATGATTGGTGACTCATGCCCCATCAACACTAACCATTTGATGCAATTTCAAATTGGTATTGAAGAAAGTGATTTCACTGTGCAGATGTTTTTTATCATGTCAAAAGTGACTTGAGAAACTGCAAATCTTGTGTGAGAGAATTGGCCGTCTGCAGAGACATTGCCCAGGGGACGCATGGATGAGTTACTATCCTGTGGGAGGATTCTCTCATGTCCCTGCATAGGAAGCTGGGGCTGACAGTGGATTTGAACCACCAAATTTCAGGTCAGCAGTTCCACTGGCACGAGGGTTTAACCCATTGTACCACCGTGGCTACTATGATTACATGGGGAATCCTGGACCAGATTGTGATTATACAAAACAAAAGCAGTGATGCACATTAAGGTTTTTTTATGCACAATTTTGTGGGAATTTGCAAATGTTGACTGAGTTATCTGAGGCTACACTACCATATATCCCAGTTCAAAGTAGATATTGTGGGATTTTATTCAGCTGTATGGAAGGGGCCTGAATCTAGCTTTGAACAACATTAAATCATCAGGGTAGATGGGGGCTCAGTTCCAAGAGATGTATTTCAAGGCTCTCTTTCCCTTCAGGATGGGTTGACAGCTGGTAGCATTGGAAACTGAGGTCAGTTAAGTTTTCACACCGAAATGGCTGGTCACAGCGTCAGGCCATGAAACATTTATGTTGAATGGAAAGGTGTGGGATGTAAGAGAAACAGGATTCTGTCTGATAGATGGAAACATTAGGAATAAACAGAATAAATTTAAGTAAATTGCAATGCAACGTGCATATGTTCAATCAACAACCACTCAGTATAACATCCATCAAATGCCATATAGGTTAATGTGTGAAGTTTTGATGCTATACATCAAGCTGAGTCACAAGCATGTAAATGTCTCATATTTGAGTACCCTTTAACAGTTATTTTTAAAAGCCCCTTTTGAATATATTTGCTGTTCATTACACTGAATGGTTAGTTCGAACAATGTTAATACGAGGGTGAGTCAAAATGTTTTGCCTCCTGTGTCATAAAAATGTTGTGAACATATAACAGCAGAAGTTGCTACAGATCATAGCCTGAACCTGTCCTCTACACAAAACTTCAGATTCAAGTCATTGAATCTGAAACCACATAGGTTGTCTGTTTGGACCTCTGAAAGACAATCTATATGGTTTCAGATTCAATGACTTGAGTGACGTTGGAACAGCTTTAAAATCATGGGTCACGAAGCAAAACCCTGAATTTTTCCAAAATGGGTTTGATGCTGGGTTAAAGAATGGTGCAAATGTGTACAAAGTGATGCTGACTATGTAGTATTGTGTAGAGGACAGTTCAGGCTATGATCTGTAGCAACTTCTGCTGTTGTGTGTTTCATTCATAATGTTTTTATGACACAGGAGGAAAAACTTTTTGACTTACCCTCATAACAACTACATTTGGAGAATTTATCTATTTATTTATTTACGACCTTTATATGCCGCCCTTCTCACCCCGAAGGAGACTCAGAGTGGCTTACAAGTAATATGTAAATACAATATATTATATTAATACCATAGCACAATATTAGTATTATATATTACTATATTGTACTACACCATTATACTGTAATATTATTAGTAATATTACATGTAATATAAAATATATCATTATAATCACGTTATAATATTATCAATATTATATGTATACGCAATATATTATATTATATTATATTATATTATATTATATTATATTATATTATAATATATGGAACTGTCTTCCTGGCCCCTCTCTTCACAGAGTTCCCAGAGCAGCAGTTGAAACTGGCTTTGAGGAAGAGACCCCAAAAGACTACTGCTTGCTTGGAAGTTTTTCCTACCCCCCAGTATCTTCACCTCGGCTGCCTCCTGAGCATAGGAGAGATGGGGAACCAGATCAAGTAGCTTTGAAGCAGGAACTTGAGGTGCCGGGAGAGAGACTATAAAAGAAAAGAAATGTCCTACTCATGCAAATCAAGCACACAAAGCAATCTTAGGATCCAAGTTATACCTTCATTTGAAGCCTTTTTTTTTTTTTACAAAAAAATCTCTGCTGCTTTTTCAAAACACAACAACAAAGGACAGGAGGATAATAACTGTTAACCAAGCAAAGATGTTTTCTAGATTTACATTAATGGAAAGGGTTTTTTTCCAGTGCATTTTGCCACATTAAAAATTCAAATGCTAACAAATTAGTTCCCTCTTGAATATCTTTAATGTTGCTAATAGGAAAAACACACAAACTTCAAGGTTTATACATCTGTAGCAGATTAGAAAAACAACCAACCAGATTAGCAAAACGTTTCCCCTTTTTTTGCTACGAATTTGAACCCCTTAAAAGTATAACTATAAAATAATCCTCCTATTAATAAAAGGCTAACATTATATACAAAGGGCACATTTATTATTAAGTTGTTTTGTGATATAATAGCAGTGATAATAAAGGATTCATTTTGTATTCATGTAAATGTTACATTTGGTTCCACCACTGTTCAGTTTAGCATTTTTAACGAGCTCTTAAAATGTTACCCCAAATGATTTAAATCTCAGCACAATTTGGTTTTCTTTTGAATTGTAACCATTCAACCCTTCTTCTACAAACAGAGGAGAAAATAATTCAATAAATGCATCTTGTAAATGCTGTTAGGCAAGGAAACATTAAGAGGAGTGTGCCGTTAACAACTGATATGCTAAAGCAACCAAGTGCTAAGCAAATGGATCTATACTATTTAGATTCTTTTCAAAATAAAGGAAAATGGAAAATGGATTGAGACTGTTGTACTTGTTTTGCAGAAAGAAGAGTCTCATTGCACAGTATACTAAATTTAAAGCAAACACAGAATGCACAAATAAAGTTTAGTTACTGTGGATGTTTCCAGATAGCTGGGAGACTCGGGGAGTGGCAGAGGTCACAACTGAAAGAAATAGGCAGCCATTCTATATTTTTCCTGATCGGGTTTTCTCGAGTAAGAAATAAGGAAATGCAAAAACAGCAGGGCTGCAAGCTGAAGGTGACACTATCTGGACCTCTCACAAATGTCCACTGTAGTTCCACAGAAAAGGCCTCACCTGGAACACTCAAAGTCATATGCTTACAGCAGTTCCAAGATTGTTGTCTAATGAAGAGATAAATCTATAGTATGGAGAACAATGTATTTTGTTCACCCATTGATAGGTCATTTTAAATGAGAAGTGGCTTCTTTTGAGCAAAGTTGTATATTTTTGTGCATGGTTGTCAGTTTGGATGCAAATAGTTTCACTGGATACTGTTCAGAGAATACCAGCCATTGGTTTTTCACCAGTGATTGTTGTTTTAAGGGGGGGAAATGTGTTTAGGATCATAGATGTATCATGCTGATTTGTTATGTCTGGCCTTCTCTCTGATATACTCCATGGCATATAAGAATAAGAATAATTCTTGTTACATCTCAAATAGACTACTGGAATGAGCTCTACGTGGGGTTGTCTTTGAAGACGGTCCTGACGCTTCAAGAAGTCCAATGGGCGGCAGCCAAATTTATTTATTTATTTATTTATTTATTTATTTATTTTCAACATTTCTAACCTGTCTTTCTCAACCCCAGAGGGGACCCAAGGTGGCTTAACAACATAGGCAACTATTTGATGCCATTAAAAACAATGTAAAAGTAAAATTAACATTTAAAATAGGGTTATAAATACATCAAAACATTTAAAACATTTAAACCAGTATTACCACTGTTAAATCACGCTGTTCATAATGATAATCCAGGCTATTAAAGCAGTCCTTACACACAATTCTGTATCTGTCTATTGGACAGGTTCTCCAAAGGCTTGATCAAAGAGCCATATATTCACTTTTTTATGGGATGTCAGGAGGGAGGGGGCTGATCTAATATCCCTGGGGAGGGAGTTCCACAGCCAAGGGACCACCAATGAGAAGGCCCTGTCTCTTGTCCCCGCCAGTTGTGCCTACGAAGAAGGAGGGACTGAGAGCAGGGCCTCCCCAAATGATCTTAAACTCTGAGATTCCTCACTGGAGCACTGTACAGGGAGCATACAACTCTCCTGTTGTGTCAGCTCCACTGGCCATGGGTTTGCTACCAGGTCCAATTCATAGTGCTGGCTTTGGTCTATAAAGCCCAAAACGGTTCTGGCCCAACTTACCTGTCTGAACACACCTCCCTTTATGAGCCAACTAGAGCTTTAAGATATGCTGGGGAGGCCTTGCTCTCAATCCCACCCTCTTCACAAGCACAACTGGTGGGAATGAGAGACAGAGCCTTCTCAGTGGTGGCCCCTTGGTTGCAGAACTCCCACCCTAGTGACATCAGGCAGGACCCATCCCTTCTGGTCTTCAGAAAAAAGCTAAAGATCTGGCTTCATACGCAGGCATTTTGAGAGTGGAGTATTATGAGATTCAACCTCAACAGTCTGAATAAGGATTATGGATCAATTAGTGATTATGGAATCAAGACCCGGCACTTTATATGTTTTAAATCTGTTTTATTGTTTTATGTATTTTATTTCCTCATGTATTTTAATTGTTTTATAGTTTGATGGGGTATTTTTTTTTTTGTTATGGCTATATGCGGTATTGAATTTTTGCCAGAGTTTGTAAGCTGCCTTGTAAGCTTCCGTGTGGGGTGAGAAAAATGGGGTATAAATGAAGGAAATAAATATTTATTTATTTATTTATTTATACCACACTTTATCTCTCCAAAGGGGGCTCAAAGCAGCTTGACATACACAATATGGAACACTAATTTTAAAAAGAAACATTCATCATAGGTTATGGGAGCAAGAGGTTAGGGGCCAAGTAGGTACTTGAACTTGGATTAGTGATTTGGGTGGCAACTTTTGCAATTCTGAGGGCTTGAAATGTCCAGAAGTCAATGTTTGCTCAAGATCGGATCCCAGTGAGAACCCATAAAAATGCTCATATCATTTCATGTGTATGTGCTTACCGGTTCTCTGCTGTTAGACAACCATTCTCACATAAGACATCAAGCTGCTGCAGCTCACAACACAATCCAGCCCACAACTTTGACACAGCCAAAAAGCAGGAAATAGCTTCCATTCAGATCACATAACTCATGAAACTAAAGCTGCATATGCATGGCATGATCAAAGAGACATGCATGTAAGAAACATACACTCACAGTGGGATGTAGGAAACACAGACATGCATTTTCTTATCACGCATGCAAAGTTTAGAAGCGGGTACTTCTTGCAGGGGGGAGGGGTTATATCTTTAAGAATCCCATTACTTGTGTGGTCTTATTAAAGAAAAAACATCTGGAATTCTGTTACAGTGTACTACACTGTAAGTATCTCCTCAGCTCCCTGAATTATGGTCAAGAAAGACTCATTGTTTTTATTTTGTCAAAAGGTCCATGTTGGAAAGGGGGCTTAATCCATCTAGACTGAAAACACTTTACTAATTATTAAGAAAAGAAAATTGGATTTCTCTTTTAACAGTAAAGACATTTTATCATGAAGATTAATGATAAGGCAACAGAACAAACGAATGTGTTATTTCATATTCATCAATTGTGAAATAGATTATTTCCAGTATAAATTAAAGGCAGGAATAAAACTTTATTTTTATCGTGGCTTTGCTAGGTCTCTCAATTCAATATTTAAAGAAAAATATGTCTCTTGGAGTAAGAGGGGATTAATTCAATATTTTAGTAAATGATTCCATTTTCTTGGAAGCTGATGGACTCTTGGTTTTCTACTCTAATTTCTCTGAATTTATATTTTACATTGCTACACCTAATCTCAGATAGATTTCATAACCATGTCTTAATTACTTATAAATTCTCAACTTACAGCAATTAAGCGTTGCTAAAAGATCACAACTAACAGCAGGCACACTTACTTCCCCTGGCCTTTTTCCAGGCTGTGAGATGATGGATAAATGAGAAGAAATTCACCAACCTCAGAGTGCTTTCGCCAAATGTCTATGTTCTTGCGCTGAGCTTTCGAGAAATGGTCCCAGGCTTTTTGTCTGGTGGAGGCGTTGAAAACGGCCACAATCTGCTCAACTTTGGTGAACAAGGAAGTCAAACAAGACAAGCAATTTATGTTGTGATTGCTAAAGAAAAAAAACGCAAAGCAAAGACACTAGGAGTCTATGGATGATGTCACTGCTGTAACAACATCATCAATATCCATCCAATCACGTGTCTTTTTGTACTTACATTTTAGAATTGTTGGAGATGTCTCCTTCAAGTCTGTCTCCATAACTTTAGTACACACAAACTATATACAGAATGCTGACAAATCTGCATGCGGTTTACCCCAAACACATTAGTCTTTTTTGTTACTGACTGATTTGTGTTCATGGGAATCTAATTTGTGGGAGGAGCCATGAGAGACAAAGTGATTAAAAATCTAGGCTATAATCCTATCTATCCTTAGAATCAGCCTCAATGAGCTTGATGGGAATTAATGGACATGTATATGATTGCATTGTCAAAGTCTTAAAGGTCTTTTCAATTTGAAACCTACATTTAACTCAGACCAATTAAGATTGTTCCAAGTATCTAGTTACCTTTTCATTTAAAGCAATGAATGAATTACTTCAAGATTAGTGAAGTGGCGAATACACTCAGTTTTTCTCTGAAATTGAAAGGAGTAATCCAAATTGCTGAAACCACAAATTGCTGAAACCCATTAACAGAACAGGTTCAGCATCTTGGACAGCACCTGTAAAGTTTGCATCAAAACTCAATGCGGATTCACCTTCCCCTTTAAATATTTGAGACACCAGACTTCAATGGGTGAGAAACAGATGGTATTTGATGTGCTCCCATCAGTCTTGGGCCAGAAAACTAATGGAGAGATATGATGTGAGCTACAGTTCAGCAACACTTCCAGCCCTGATTTCAAGGGTGGCTTCTTCACATCTTGATAATAAATCACTCTTTCTACAGAAGAAAGTCATGTTCTTGTAACCGAACTTGGGTTTTTAGGTCTACTAAAAGTGTCTGTGTTGCTAATTCAGGAAATATTTGGGAAGGACAAACTGACATTCCTCTTTCCTTTCTGAGAAAATTATGCTATCCTCTCTTGCCCCCCCCCCCTCCACAAGCTACATTTTCAAACCAAAGCATAACATTTGTACTGCCAAGCTAGAGTGTAAGAAACATCGTCGAAATCTTATGTGTAAAATGTACATTAGAAATAAAATTCTGAAATACTGCAGTTCTCAGATTCACCAGAGAAGCAAATCATAGACATTAACTAGACTACACAATCTGTATGCTTGTATTTAGGATTAGAAAACATATTGTACCCGAGAAATAAAATGTTTAAATCTCTAATATGGAAAACTATTCCTCCATTTTCTGCACCAATATGAACTCATTTGCATTATTACTTCTACAATGAAATTGTATTAAAGAAAATACAAGATATTTCCTTTATCACATTTCTTAGAGGCAATCATGACATGCCATCGAGAAGATTTATATGGAGGATATTAAACTCAGTAGAACTTCCTCAGTGAATCAAATATTTTCTGCTTTAACTGGGTTTAGTCAAATTACATTTACTCAAAACAAGCCATCAGTACTTTCACTTGATTGAAGGACTATATCATCTGAAAATATTCCATGTTTCTCAATTGTGTTTTCTTTTTTTATTTAAATGGAACATGGACATTCTCGGTGTAAAGCCTTGTATTAAGTTTAGAGTTTAAGATCTAAAGTTTCTAACTCCTCAGCTTTTCACACTATCTCTTTAGGATTGCTTTACTGCATCTTTTAGTCTACCTATTTCCCATGGAATTAAATTCTATACAGTTTCTATAAACAGTATGGAAAATAAGAACAAGAGGAGTTTGATATATCCAGTCTAGTATTTCAAAGGATAATCAGGATGACCTCCCAATTTTATTTCACACAGGATTATTTCCACAGTCACTTGTAACAAAATTATTACCAATAATAGGGCTGGGCAACCACGGAAAAATTTGTTTCTAAACTCGATTCGTTTTTAGGGGGTTTTTGCGTTTCGATTTTTAAATTAATTCCGAAATTTTCCTTAAAATTTTTTCGATATTTACGAAATTTCATAAATTACGAATCAATTACGAATCGATTTTGAAACAATTACGAATCGATTTGTTAATGGCGGGCGCGATCGCGCAATACGCTAAAAAAACCTCCAAATGGGACAGGAAGCTTCCCTCTCCCTCTGTTGTTGACTGTTGGTGTGATAATTTATTTTTTTTTCACTGAGAAAACAAACAACGACTATAAAACTTGCACCAGACATGCGGAAATAATAACGAAACGATTTCGAATCAATTACGAATCAATTTCGAAACAAATACGAAACAATTACGAAATGAATTGAAAAAATTCGTTTCGTTTTTTAGTTTCTCCTGAATGGTTCAGTATCGCTTCGTTATCAAAAAAAATAACGAATTAATAACGAATTACAAAATTAACGAACGAAACCGCCCAGCCCTAACCAATAAGGATACAAATAGGTTTACCTGGAAAAAAAAACTGGAGAGTGATTCTATCTCGTTAATGGATGTGTAGATGAGGGCATTCCAGCCGATATTGATTATCTGGTTACATGACAAGAAATGCCTTTTGAAACTGAAGTGTTAGTGCTATATATCTTCAAGTCATTTCTTACTTATTGAAACCCTAAAGTGAACCTATTATGAGGTTTTCTTGGCAGGATTATTTCAGAGGAAGTTTGCCATTATCTCTCTCTGAGTTCAAGAGAGTGTCTAGGACTCAGGTCACCCAATGGGCTGAGCAAGGATTTGAACTGTGGTCTCCTAGAGTCCTAGCCCAATTCTCAAAATAGTGCACTAAACTGGCTGTCCTCCTCCTCCACTACTACTATGACTATGGCTATGACTAGGACTACTATTACTACTGCTACTACACAAAACTTAAAGATACAGGAGCCCTCTCCAAATTTCACTTTGGCAACCCTCAAAAGGCTATAGTAAGGAGTATTCCTTCTCATTGCTTGATTTCATAATAGTCCATTCCATTTCCCTCCTATCTAGTTTTTCATTGATTGTCTCCCAAATTGGCAGCGCTTTGTAGTCACTAAATATATTGAGTCAATATTAGGTTGCTCTGTATTTCCCTCTTTATACCCTCTGGTCCCCCCAGTTTTTTGTACTCATGTATTCTTCCCAAGCCAGTTAATTCTTCCCTCTTGAGTGCAGGCAGTTCTCTTTTGGCTCCATAAATAAAACTAGTGTCTCAATAGTGGAAAAAGAGAAAATTAGCTGGAGCTCAGACTTCATGAGGCTCCAATTTGCCTCCTTATTAGAGGAAGGGTAACCAAACTGGAAAGATCTTTCCACTTGAGAATGGCGCTCTGAAGAGACAGGTCATGCCTGTTGACAACTGACATGATCCAGGCCTTCAAGCACAACCAAGAGCACAAGAAGCAGGGTGAGCTTTAAAAGAGTGGATCAAGTGCACAAACCATTCTCATGCCCTTCTAAGTACACAAGATGATTTTACTGTGAGGACAGAGATTGGATGCCATCCCAGTGAGTCCCCTCGAAGGCATCACCCCTCAGATGTGTATAATTAGTTTCCCTTCTGCGTGAAAAAGAAAAGCTTTGAAAGCATAACCTGGGCTGGCTGCCCATCACTCAGAATCATTCCCTCAAAGGATTTACCTCCAACTTCCTCTGTTTCAGTGCTGTGTTATGTTTAGCCTGGAGTTTGCATAATATTGCTGCATGAGCCCTGGATCTCATAGTGGCAACAGAATATATTTTCTTTTCTTTTACATTTTTTTAACCTCCCCCAATATACTGCACTTCTGTAAACCTCAAGGTTTGGGTAACCATGTTCATCCCTTTCATTTTTGTATATAAGTGGAGCCAGTTTCATTTTGCAAGCATTAGCATCACAGTATATATGTGACTGATGCTTGAGGATTTGGTTTGTGCAAACAGTCTCTTGTAAAAATGTTGCATAACAACAATTTGGTGACAAAATCACATATGCGGTACTTACTATGCTTGTCAGATATGTCTTTCCTGAAAGCAAGAAGGTGCTTTTGCATTGAACATTTCCCTGTCTGATTTTTCTCACTGAGAGGGCTGTTCTCTTTCTAGACTTTAAAATAAGAACAACTAATCTAGCTAGCAAAAATGTATATAAATAAGCCCCTTCCAAGTGGTGAAATGTTGTGCACTTTGTATATTGGTTTTGTCGTAAACCGCACTGAGTCGCCTACGGGCTGAGAGAGTGCGGTATACAAATAAAGTAAATAAATAAATAATAAATAAATTTATTTTTGAGAGGAAGTGGAGAGGGATGAGCTGCCCATTCCCCAACCAGAGGAACAAGCCAATGCCATGGTGGCCCTTGGATTGGATAGCTGAAGTAAAGAGGAGGACAGCCTAGCTTCTAATGTGAGCCTCAGAACAGGGTCCACTAGGAAATTTTGTCGCTTACCAGGAGATCAATATGGCAATGGGCAGATTAGCCTGGCCTCAATCACTGGCAAGGCAAGGAACAGTTATAAGACAACAGAACTGCTTCATCTCTGGTAGAAATTGATCTTCTCAATATACTCCACTCACTTAGTAACATGTGGCATACAACACTTTCTTCCGGGGTGCACAGTAAAGAGAGCTGAAGTCACCATTTCCATTATTAGAACATGAAAGCTACTTCTCCAATGCCTGCCTTCCAGGGTCCTTGGATTCAAGGGCTCTAGGAAGGATGCTATGGACTACAAGGCCACCATGCCCTTCTTTGAGTCAAAGTCAGGTTCTGTAGGAACCGGACTGCTCCAATGTGGCAGCTTGGTTCTCCTCATCCCAATTTTCTTCCTACTGCTGTTGTAATCACTACTACTTGATTACTTAATAGGCTTTTAATGTAAAAACCACTTGATTTGTATGCAGGAAAGAAAGATGAACATTAATAGGGGAGATGGGACCAGCAATAGATACTGAAAAGAATGCATACTAGATCTTAGGGTTTTGGTTCCAGGATTCCCGATGAATACCAAAATCCAAAAATGCTCAAATCTTATTATA